GAAGATTAGAGATTGTAATAGTCAATGGTTCATCTAATACATGCTGAGGGGATCCCTATGTTATGTCAGCTGGTTGGGGACAAAATGTGTATTTAAAAATATGTGAGCTAGCTCCATGCCGGAGGAGATCACAGTAAGAGATTAGGAAGTATTTACTTTAATCAGGTTGGCTAACTGAACACACCAATCTCTTCGCCGTCAGAAGAGGCTTCCTATTATGTGAGGGATGGGAGTAATTCTTTTAGTTCCTAGAAATGGGATAATGATTGGTGTCCTGGTTGGCGATTTTTCTGCCTTGTCATGATGGTCACAGTACGTGCAAGGAAAATGCTACATATTTGTGGACAGTGTAAGGGTTTTCATATGCAAGTACTTGAAGGAATAATACGCCTCGGAGCTGTTTTTCTAGCCAGATAACAAACCTTTACGAGGTTTGGCTCAATGGATATTAATAAGCGAGATGGTGGACTCATGAGCCTAGTTTATTTCAAGAAGAACAGGTACAGGGAAGGCACTGGAGCCCCCGATATTTAGATTTTAAGGAGACAGACGGATAAGGAGGATTACGCACCAGATACCATTTGATCAACCGTATCTTTCTTGTGCTAGAAATTTATTAAACATACTGATCTGTGAGAATTACATTTATATGCTATGTATTTAAATAGATTTAAGGGATTAGGATTAAATAATCTAATAAACTAGACAACTTGTACTAGTTTCTCAGATATTAAATGGTTGATGACAGGGATAGGATTTTAAGTTAGTCCAGCTGGGCTGTGTGAGGTTCTGGGAGAACCTAATTAAAACCAATTTTATGGTCACAGTTATAATTAACGACATTGCACATGGCAAGCGTCTGTATCCACTTCCCCACGTCTGAGGACTTTTTTTCTTGACGAATCCTACATGACCTAGGCTTCAGGACTTACTCCCGTGGTTGTGGAGGGTGCATTGGACCACCATAAAAGCCCTAGGAAGAGGCTGAGGAGAGAGATTCGAGCGGAGCAGCTGCGGGGTGCAGAGCTCCTGAGCAAGAGGACTTTTCGACGGAGCAGCTGCTGGGGATGTTCAGGCGTACGGGAGAAGTCTGCTGAAGGTCACTGGCGGAGACTGTTGGAGGCCTGGCAGAGTACTGGCTTGGCGGGCGCGCATTTACACGTGCTGTGCATGGGTCTTGGAACCTGCTGGCTTTAGTACCATAATGAACGTCCTCTGTGCTATAATTAGTGTAAGTATAAATTCAAATTCGTCCGTCAAGATGATTGTAATATCCACTGTCTCACTCTCACTGCTAAGTTGTACCATCCCATTATCTAAACCACAATAATTTTTCTCGCCTGTTCCCTAAATATATTATTGTAGCAAAAGACTTAATAATAAACGTGTTGATAAGAAATAGGAAATATATCACAGCCACCGTTATTTGTATTTTTTTTTTACTCCATTTAATTATGAGTTTAAGTATAAAGCATTATAGGTAGATTAATTCGTAGTGTGGCGTGTAGAGTAATTAGAGGTTAAGGTGTAGTCACCAGTGGACCTCACATTACCTACCTACCAACGTGGCCCTCATCCCTCCTAGCTGGCCGGGTAGGTCGCCTGTCCCCTACCTACAGACTTTCCCTCCTTCTTACCCCCATATACCCCTAATCATTTACTATTCAATCATGGACCCCCCTACAAGACACCCAACTCGACAGCCTCGCGCCACGTACCATGACTCTCTACTGTCTTCCGAACAATATTGTCACTGATCCAATGTAGTGCCTTCCCTGTTTATCCCTGCTATGGGTCCTCCAGTTTTTGCACCAATCCTTGTGTGGAACTGTGTCAAAGGCCTTCCTGCAGTCCTAGGAATGCAATCAACAACCCACCCCGACTCTTCTCGTGTCTTACTCTTGTGAGTGTGTGTGTGTTTGTGTGTGTGTGTGTGTGTGTGTGTGTGTGTGTGTGTGTGGTGGTTGTGTACTCACCTAATTGTGGTGCAGGGGTCCGATACCAGCTCCTTGCCCCGAGCATCTTCACTGAGTGCTAGACTAAGATTCTCTCTCTCACCGCCTGCATTCCATGAGCTTTATCATACCTCATCATGAAGCTATGTATTGGTTCATGTCCTCCACTTACCTAATTTTTCTAGTCTAATTCCACTTCCTGACAACTCTATGACTGAAGAAATACTTCCTTAACATCACCTTTGGATTCATCTGGTTCTCATTTCCCAACGTGACCCCCTTGTTTCTGTGACCCCTCTTTGGAACATCCAAGTCTTTGTCCAGCCTTAGTTATATTGCACGCAGTATTTTGTATATCGTTATCATTCTCCCCTAGAACCCTCCTGTCCCTCCAGTGTCGTCAAGTGCCGATTTCTCCATAACCTTTCTTTGTATGGACATTTCCCCTTAGCTCTGGGAACTATACCTTGTCGCTAAACTTTGCACTTTCTCTCTCACTAATTTCTTCTTGACGTGTTTGTTCAAGTGTGGGTTCCAAAAACATGTGCTGTATACTACTCCGAGTATGGGCCCAGATGACACGGTGTACAGTGGCTTGAACGATTCCCTTACTAATGTATCGGAACCGCAGTTCACAGGATTTTGGCCAGGATTCCCATATGCTGCAAGCAGTTTATCTGGTTGATGTGTGCTTCCGAGCGTGCTCAATGTTATACTCAACCCAAAGATTCTGTCTCCCTTGACTGATCGAGGTTATGTCAGTCTTTGGTCCACGCCCCCGAACCTTCATGAAAATGCATAAGGCGGGTTTAAATTCGAGAAGCCAGTTGCTGGACCAGGTGGTCCCAGCCTGCCCAGGTCACCTATTTTCACAAGTCCTAAACCATGATCTTCATCTGATTTAATACTCCTCATTAACTCACATCATCTGCGAACAGGGGACACCTCTGAAGTCTAACCCTTCCATCAAGTCATAACAACTTATTCCAGAAAATGCATTTGACCCAAAAAGACGACCCCTGTGGGACCACACACGTTCACAGGCGCCGCACGTGTGGTACCTCATCACGCACTATTGACTCGTAGTTGCCTCCCTGGTCAGGTATTCTTCTGATCCATATGCGATTGCCCTTCCTGTTATAGTGCACCTGATCCACCAGCTTCTGCACTAAATACCATAGTGAGGAACTGTGTCGAAGGCCTTCCTGCAATCCTATGAAAATTCAATACAACCCACCCCTCTTTCTCTATGTTCTTACTTCTGTTATTAGTCATAAAACTCCAGAGAGTGTTTGTTACACAGGAGACCAGCATACTGGAGCTGGTTGTCGTTTTATAATCTATGTTTCCGTTCCAGGAGATTTCCACCACTCTCCTTCTGATAATCTTCTCCATGACTTTGCATACATACTCTCAGTGACACTGGTTCTGTAGATTAGTGCCTCGTTTCTGTCTCCATTCTTAAAAATGGGGACTACAATTTGCCGTTTTTCATACCTCAAGGTAGTTGCCCCAGTTTCAAGGGATGTTTGAAAGATTGTGGATAGTGGCACACAGCAGCGTCCCTCTACTCCTTCTCTAAGGACCCACGGGAGATGTTTGCCGCGGTCCCCATCGCCTATGAGGTATCAAGGTTTCATTAGCGACTTCTGCACTTCCTCCTTAGTTGTAATGTAAGACATCTCAACATTTGTTGGTATCATCCCTGTTGGTGTTCCCTCTGTTCTGTCTCCTCCCAGATCCTTTCCTGTCGTCTTATCTACGTTAAATACTTACTTAAATCTCATGTTGAGCTCCTCGCATACCTCATGATCGGTTTCTTGTGAGTTTTCCCAACCTTCTTTCTTCAGCCTTATCACTTGTCTTTGACTATTGTCTTCCCTCCTGATGTGGCTGCAACAGCAGTTTCGGGTCAGATGTGACTTTCGATGCTATGCTATATAGTCGTACTGTTGCTGGGCCTATTCCCCCTCCTTACCTGTGCATACTCGTTTTCTTCTGGCTCTTCGTACTAAATCGTCCTTATTTTTCCTGGGTTCTTTGGCATTCATTACATTTTTCATTCTCGTACTGCACTTTATTTTTGCCTCCGCCTACACTTCGGGTAAACCAAGGGCTCGTATTTCTGGTCTTCCATTATTTCTGTTGCCCTTGGGAACAAACCTTTCATTCCTCTGCCTTCTTGCATTTGTTTGTTACGTAATTCCAGCAATTTCTTTTAATGACTTTCCTACCAATTGCTCTGTTCTCCACTGAACCCTCCTGCAGGAATTCCTCATAATCCACTGTAGTCCCCCCTTTTATAGATTGTCTTTCTTTTCCCCCTGAAATTCCTGTTACCCCTCTCCACTTGTAACTCTATCAATAATAAGTCGAAAACTAGAACCAGCGTAGAACACTACTCCAAGGGCCTCTCATAAGGAGTCGTCAATTGTCTTTACTCGGCCTCATTGAACACAAGGTCAAGTCTGTTGAGGTTCACTTCACCCTCACTCTCTGTTATGCCTTGACATGTTGATGGGCATGAGGTTTCCCAGTACCACAATCCATCCATCATCTTGGTCACCATGTTTCAGCCCCCAAGTGGCTGTCCAGATTTTCCCAATTTATCCCTGTGGTTGAAATCGCCCATAACCAGATAAAATTGCTCTGCTGCAATGTGAGATCTTTCTTCTTGCCACCTCAGCCAGTTGACCACCCAGCCATTTGCTTTGTGGTGTGAGTGTATGTGTGTGTGTATTTGTGTGTGTGAGTAATGTGTGTGTGTGTGTGTGTGTGGGTGGTGTATGTGAATGTGTATGTGTGTGTGTGTGTTGTGTGTGGTGTGTGTGTGTTTGTGTGAGTGTGTGTGTGTTGTGGAGTGTGTGTGTGTTGTGTTTGTGGTGTGTGTGGTGTAACTATATATAAAGGACTATTAGATAAGTAAACAATTACATGACTTCACCAGAGGAAGATCTCTCCAGCCTGGGTAGGCTCAAAAAGTGTCAGAGGATCATGGGTAAGAGAGGAGTGAAGCATCTAAACTCGTTTGTGAGGAAATCCCACCCAGACGCGAGAGGGAGCCAGCCAGCTGACGTTTCTTGCCATCACCATAAGAAATATGCAACTTATACACAACTATCGGGCTGCTCATACAAGGAAAAAAATAAATAACTGAAAAAGAAGCACTGGATACAACATACAGGAGGAACATCTGAACAGAAAAAATGACCTTTCGGCATGGTAATGTTGATGACTATCATTTAGGAAGAGCACAATATGTAAATGCCTCAAAATCCCAGAAATAACAGAGAAACAATGATAAATATCAAAATAAGAAAAGTTAATGCCAGTCAAGGACACAATTTCAAATCCTTGTGCTCTCTTTGTGTTAAGAATATGTTCCATTGTTGACGCTTCCATGTCCAGGCAGGATAGATAATTATCAGAGCTGAGAAAGTAACTGAGAACGTGTCCTGCTGCACAAATAATTGAGCAATTAGAACTACTGTGACTGCTTGAAAAGCATTAGGAATAGAAGAGATACGAGAAACATATAAATTGAAAGATATTTAAGGGCTTAGTCCACAGATCACATGCTACCGGTTGCCAGTATATGGGAAGAAGTGTACAACAGATCCAGTGAAAAGAGCAGGAGGCAGAGCCAAGAAAGTGCAGTAAGAGAACCTGTGGTCAACAATTTGTGGTTCAAGTTAGGAAAAAGGACACATTTTGCATACTAATGATCATTTTAATGCGGCATGTTTCTGCAATAAAATACCACATTAGCTGGACGTGTCCTAACATATTGAAGGTAATTCTATCAATACTATTACATCCTTGGTTCATGTCTACTCAACAATGTTTCCACAAGGTATCAGAAACACTGGGAGAACTAGTGGTAGAAGAGATATTAAAGAGAAATTTGAGTAACTGACCTCGCCAGTACCAGAATAACGAGGCTGCCATAAATAAGTGGGTCGCCGCAAACCAAAAGCAATTGCCTGGGGTTGAACAGGCATCAATAGAAAAGCCAGGCAGGTATGTCATGCTGTGAAGTTAAAAAATCTCAGAGTGGGACACAGATATACATGGTCACTAGATACATCGGGGTCACAGATATCTCAGGGTCAACAGGTACTACGCTTCTACATTCTACACCACAGAAACCACTTGACTGAACTTAATGAAATTCACATAAAGTAGAAATTTTTCCAATAAGCATAAGTATAAAAAAAAAAGCCAATAGGATGAAGAAAAAATTTATATAATTTTTACCTTTTTCAGTAGAAATCTATGATACAAAAAACCCATATCTCTCTTAAATGGCTGAAAAACCGGAAACTCAGGGCGCGCAAAAAAAAAAATGAACAATGTGTAAAAAGATATAATATATATCAGCTTCAATGACCAAAATCTCTTATGGTTGCAGAAACATGAATGAACAGATTGACAGACAAAAAATAATTATATGTGAAATTATGACAGAGAAATCCACAAGTCCACGAATATTGTAAGTAGGATACATACACCGAAATATTGGAAATCACATGAAATAAGGTAGCCAAAAATATCGCATTAAAGAAAAGCAACATTAACAATCGTACATAGTTAAAAATCAATATGAAAAATTCCATAAAACAAAGCGATCTAAAATATAAATAAGAACCCGATCAAAGATGCATTCTACTGTTAACACTGAGTGAAAACTAAAATCCCATAAGTGTATTAAATAAATAACAAATTAGTGCCCACACAGCCTAGTAACAAGGTGAACTTTGCTTTAATCAAAATATTTCAGCACTAAAAGTTTGAAACTGATCGGAAGAGGCATTCTCCAGTTACTAAATGTTAGCCAATAATCCCAGTTTTGTAAACTATATTAATAAATTGGCAAACTGACACGCAGAAAATTTAAGTCTTTTATAAACTGATAAGATACATTAAGTGTAAATGATTTAAACAATTCAGAAGAGATAGATGCGCTAATATAAACAATTGCTTAAATAAAAGAAATGTGTAGGTACACACTTCAGTTAGCATTTTATACCTTCTAAGTACCATACACTTGTGTTGGAAATTTGAGAGTGATCAAGCACTCGCATATATCCCAGTGAAAGTGCTGTGATTATATTCTTGTATGAGCTTGCCATATTGACGCTTCCAGTATATTGGCCAATAACATTTAACTTCTAAGCAATACACAGCAACGCTAATAGGTTTGAAACAATGATCAGAAGATGGCAGAGTAACCTGTCACTAGTGGTTTCGTCGCTTCACATCATAAAAAAGTATCCCCACATATTTTATAATAACTACAGCCCACTGTACCACCCTCACCCAGATCAAAAAGATCAGTACAGAGGGTGGGAATCAATATAATTTATTACTTTATATATCATTTGCCAAACTGGCGATGGGCCACAAAACAATTTATTAATACTGTGAACTTTCCTGCTAAAATGCACCAAGGGTAAAAATTTGAGATCGATCAGAAGAGGAAATCTTTAAGCAGTAGTCTGAAACTAACAATCAAGTGTTTGTGGAGTTAGGTTAGTGACTCACATTATTAGCCCCTGCACAGCCTGAACCCATAATGTATCTTTCTTTAATGTACATCAGCCATTAAAGACTGAAGCAGTTCAGAAGAAGCATTCTCAAATTATCGCACGAAAAAAGATACCCCCATAATTTGTTTAATAAAACTTTTAAATTTACATCTTACTCCAACAACACTCCGAACTTTCTAAGTAGGAAGCATCAGAAGCCGTTCAGAAGAGGATGTTCTCAAGTTATTCCATAGCAATTGCTGTGCTATTTGCAAGTGCAAAATTGGTAAACTGCCACCTAAACAGCTCAGTACAATCCGTATCTTCTATTAAGATACACCAAAACTGAAACATTAAAGTCAATCAGACGAGTTCACAGTTATCACACGAAGCGTTGGAGGTGCTTGAAGGATGAAGAAGAAACACTCCGACAACCAGTAATGGTATTCCATTGCATGGAATACCATTAATGGTAGACTTAATAAATAAGCCCTGCTTTATGTAGAAACGTTGTCTACAATCATATATGTCATGGGTGAAAAATAAGAACGTAATGCTAAAAGAATGTACTAGAATTCTTAACTTCACTCGCAAATCAAAACAATGATTGCTTAGACAGCTGACCTGTGTGGTGAGATAGAGACCAGCTTCCAGGTGGGTCCTTATGGCTTTCAGTAGCGGCAGCAGGAGTTCGGGGTCTGAAGGCTTGACTTCAACTAAAACAAGCCACTTGGCGAGGGTCTTATGTGGATCAGACACCCTGGAGAAGAACACCAACTGCTGAAGCAACACCTCACCCACCACCCCAACGCTGCCCTTGTAGTCACGAACAGTATCCTGCCAGGAAGCAAATATTGGCGTAAGTCAGCTTATGGAAGAAAATAAAGTTTAGATTCTTTCTTCATTGTGAAAAAAAATCCATAACTTTTTTTTCCTACAATGTGGATGAAATTGTAATTCTTTGTCAACGTCCTAATACATCAATGAAAGTTTATTAGTCATCAAGGCTCTGAAATTATCTATAGTTATCCATCTATATTGTATAACTTGGTACAACGACAATCTCTGTTCATTCTTGCTGGGATGTTCACCTCAGTCTTGATATTCTTAGTTGCACTTCTTGCAGTCAATGAAATTATACTAAATATGAAACATTGACTTCTACACATCAGTTATATATGAGTCATTTAAGCCTTAAGTTGTATAACTGTCGAGCCGAACAGGTAACACTGGTCAATCAGCAAGAACTCATTTAAAATTAAGTCCTTTCTAACATTTTCTCTTATACATTTAAAGATATTTTATTTATGTTAATGTAAAAATTAATAAGGAACTTTAGGAAACTTGCCTAACCTTATTAAAACAAGCGCAATTTAGCGTAATCCAACTAAATATATTTTAGATAAGTTTACAATAATTTAATAATAAACAAACACAATGAAATATATTTTTTTCACTAGGTTGAGAATAATTTTTGATAAACTATTGCATAAACAAATTTTCCCTCGCCTTATTCGGCAAGAAGAGCTTTGCTATTTAAGCCGAAATCGCAAGTTTATTTATGCCTAACAATAATATAACAATAGTTTCCTATGCACCCCAAAGCCTGAACGAGGCTCGTGTTGTTCAAGACTGTACCAAGTAATGTGGTGTTGTTCAAGACTGTAACAACTAATGTGGTGTTGTTCAAGACTGTAACAAGTAATGTGGTGTTCAAGACTGTAACATGTGATGCTGTTCAAGACTGTAACATGTGGTGTTGTTCAAGACTGATACAGAATTATAAAAATATTCAATTGGTACCCAATACAGTTTGGATAAATCATTACGTTAGTCATAATTTGCATATAGCCTACCACATCACATCTTATGAAATGGATAATCAACTAAGGTGACATCGCACTTACTAAAACTAGATTTGTAAATCATTTCTCATACGCGAATTGGAAGAGAATTTACGGTAAAAGATTCTACGATAGCTAACATTTTTTTTCAGTCCTGAAATAAGTGTACTTGCTTATGTTAACATATCGTCCACCTCTCACCAAGGAAGATGATGTAAAGAAGACTAATTTGTCTTAGCTGTCTTTCCAGAAGGGGATATACGAGTATGTTGTGGTCTAACGATGGACCGGAAGGGGATATATGAATATGTTGTGGTCTAACGATGGACCGGAAGGAGATATACAAGTATGTTGTGGTCTAACGATGGACCGGAATCTCTCCAGGTAAACTCCAGGTAAATAAAAGAGAGAAGCTTACGACGACGTTTCGGTCCGACTTGGACCATTGACAAAGTCACACTAACAGAGGTGGAGCAGGACAGCTATATATAGGCAGGAAGAGGTGGAGGTAGTAGTAGTAGTAGTAGTACAAGAAATGTATATAATACCGACAGGATGAAATGACACATGCACAACACCCGTCGGTATTATATACATTTCTTGTACTACTACTACTACTACTACTACTACTACTACTACCTCCACCTCTTCCTGGCTATATATAGCCGTCCTGCTCCACCTCTGTAGTGTGACTTTGTCAATGGTCCAAGTCGGACCGAAACGTCGTCGTAAGCTTCTCTCTTTTATGTGCGGGTTATTTGTGTATCGTTCCAGTCACGGTATTGTGCCTTTTTGTTATTGATATATGAATATGTTGTGGTCTAACGATGGACCGGAAGGGGATATACAAGTATGTTGTGGTCTAACGATGGACCGGAAAGGGATATACGAGTATGTTGTGGTCTAACGATGGACTGCTAAACGGAATCATTCTCACCACCTTCTAAGATTCACTAGATACTAAAAAAAGACTTTATTGATATTATTAATCCCAGAGGGATAATAACCCTGGTACCACAAAAGTCATGCAGTGTAGCTTACTGGTATTTAAGGGTCTTTGTGATGGCTCACATCCGCCAGGATGTGAGCCATCACACGTTATTAACTCTCAGGTAGATATCTGATGTTACATAAGGAAGCAAAGAGGTATAGCATAGACAAGGAGGAACAGTGAATGAAGGGAAGCACAGAGTAGCTTGGAAGGCACAGTGAAGAGAGCAATAACGAACACTTGCACGGTACTTCAAGACTGTGTCACGAACACTTGCACGGTACTTCAAGACTGTATCACGAACACTTGCACGGTACTTCAAGACTGTATCACGAACAGATGTTAATATTCTTTCTACTGAAGTACAACTTCCAGCATCACATTAACCTTAAGTAAACAAGAAACATTAAATGTGTTATGTTTTATCTGTTCACAACATTAATTCATGTGTGACTGAACATTAATAAACAGTCACATTCAAGTGTACTTTGTAATATTTGTGATTAAAACTTATTTTCAAAAATGCTTTACCTATTTTCACACTGAATTTCGTTATTCTTTCAGTATAATTAAATATGAGTGAAAAGGTAAATTATGTTACATTTTTACGTTTTAATCAGCTAGTTACTGTAAAGTAGGATTATTTTGGTAATAAAATGAATGATTTCTGAAAGACGCTTTGATTCTGATTCGTTCTTTCAGTTTATGAAGACAATACTGTACATATTGCTATAAATATGTTGCAAAGTGCGGTCCTCATCACACATCTGATCATCTAATGTTTTTAATGATGTTCTCAATTTTCTGGGAGAGAAGGTTAACGGAGGATTACTTCGTCTTCTTTTATTTGTTGATGCTTTTGATCTAATTCACCTTCGTGTGGACTCTGAACTCTCTTTCATTCCAAGGTAAATGCTATTATCAAACATTTGGTGTTGTTGTAGCCTCTCCTCTGTCTTCTGTTCTTCCTAGCCTTAATTTAGAATATTTCGAAACAGTCTTACTTCCTGCTATTGGAGTGGGTCGCTCTCTTTGGCTTCGCTATATAAATGACGTCTTTGGTCTTTGGCCACATGACTAGTCTCATTTATTCGTTTCCTTGATGCACTTAACAGTCTTGTTTCTTCTGTCAAGTTCAAAGCTGAATGGGAATCTAGCTCTTTGCCATCTTTCCTTATGTTCATGTCCACCGCTCTGCAACAGGTTTTTCTTTTTCCGTCTGCCACAAGCCTATGCACAGTGAAATACACATTCACTACTTTTCTGTTAAGGAAAGTATTTCTCTCTTCCTTCGTGGCCTCCGCATCTGTCATCCTCGGTTTCTTGTCTCTGACATTTTCCACTCTTCACAGCTCGTTCTTTCACCTTGGCTATCTTTCCGATTTCATAATCTCTACCTACTCTCGTGTTAAATGGCCTCTCTTCTTCCAGATACACTTCTTCTGTAACCTCTGTTGCTCTTTGCCTTCCCTACATTTCCATTCCTGAAAACCTTAACAACATCCTTCGTTCTCTAGCTATTAAACCTGCTTTTCGTCACATTAATACCATTCGCACTGATTTTGTTCATTCTTCTCCACCTGTCACTAATGTTTTCGGTGTCTACTCCATCTCCTGCTCTTCCTGTCCTCTCCAATACTTCGGTGAAAATGGCTCTGACAGAGTTAAAGAACACAAATGTGTTTACATTGGTGACACTAACAGTGCTCGTTTGTATCATGTCAGAGATCACAGTCATTTTATTAACCGGTCCTCTGCTAAAACTATCTAACCTTCAAGCCTTCAGAAACGCCGTCTTGTTGAAGCGGCTCTTATACACAACTTCCATAATATGAATCTTAGTTCTGGCCATGTTTCTGTAGATGCCTTCTCATCCCATTATGTTGTCAAGTGCTCTAAACTTCAGAACACCCGTGACTTGACCTGAACTTTGCCACCACCTCTTCTTCCACTTTATTGACATTATCTTTTTTTCTTTGCCTTTCCTCTCTTCTGCCTTGGTGGATTTTATCCCTTTTTTTTTTACCTGCGGGGTTTTTGTCCAGTGGGATTTTTACCCACATCGGGTGGGTCAGTGGCCCTCCTTCGGTGCTCCTTTATCTTGTTCTTTCACACTACCACTTTTACCACACTTACTAATTCTTTCATAACTACTACTTTCTCTACTATTACTTCTACCACTTCTTTTACCACTACTCCTTCATCATTACTACTATTACTACCAATGCTGTGCTATTACTACTGCTACTATTACTACTGCCACCATCACCACTGCTACTACTATTGCGCTCGTCCTCTTCCGCCTTACCCCTTCCCCCAGTCAATCTTTTGGCCTTCCCTGCCTCTTACTCTCTCAGTTGTGATTTGACAATGGTCCAAAACTTACTGACTGAAATGTCTTCCAAATGTTCCTTTCCCAAGTGCAAGTTTTTGGTCAATTCTTTAATGCAACCCATTTATGAAGGAACATTGGGCACCACTAACTAAAACACGAACCAGCAATGGGAGTTAGTGTAGAGAACAGCATCAGCAATTTCTACTTGGTGATCCTCTATTTTGTTTTAAATGGAAATATCAAGTTGTAGTAGGCCAGTGGATGCGCGTCTTACTCTATTTCTTGAACAGAGCAACAACCCACGGAACGGGTGGGGTTTGAATTCATGGAGAGTGAGTCCTTAAACTCCAGGCCAGTGCGTAAGTTTATTAAGGCACAGTTACACATCAGTACAATTATCATACATGTGCAATTTACCTGGGATATCTCCCAAAATAGTCACATTTTTATTGGGGTCCTTGTAACACATTAACTAAACCTTATAAGCTATGTAAACTACACGGCCAGCTGGCTACAATAAGAATCATGCCGTCGTGTTATTACGATTATGTGAGTCACAATAGATAGAACAACAACACCGAATTTAAGTAATGTCATTAGAAATCTTTTGGAGAAAGTGGGTGAAAGCATCGAGTGCAAAACGGGTGTTGTAATACACAGGTAATGTTTTGTGGAGGGAGATCTATGTTAGTGTACCAGGTTAAAGATCTGACGACATGAGACTAGAGAAAACGTGTGAAGGTTAGGTTAAGGCCTGACTATAAGAGTGTAAATAAAATGCACGAAGGAACAAGGGAATGAACACACACGAAGGTAATACAACAATACTTACAATGAACACCGCATATTTTTGTCGAAATATACACTACTCACTACTGATTTTTATTCTTGTATTTTGTTGCCACCACGTGAGTTGACTGGTGTCTCTCACCAGTGTTATTAAGATACTTTTTGAAAATTCTACCCCCTTAGACAATGGGGAGTGATTTGTTAACGCTGTAGGCTCGAACCAACGATCTTCAGCAAGATAGACAAAAGCTAATGCAAGTAAATTTATTTATGTACAGCTACACATAACAGTTACATAAATTATCATACATAGATTACCTCGGATAACTCAAAAAAGTCAGACAACGTGGCTTATTTCCATTAGAGTCGTATGGTCTGATAGTGATTTATGTACAGATATAAGTTAATTAGTAATACGTCATTTCACTTACCAGAGCTTGAACCTGCATATCAATGAGGCTACGAAGAGTAGAACTGTAAGTGTCATAACCAGTGGTGGTGAGTTCAGACTCAGGTGTGGGAAGTGTCAGGCAGATGTGCAACTTACACGACACACTTGATTTATTTGATGTCTTTTTAACTGTTACATTTCCACCTGCTCTATTGAACTTTTTCTTTTTCTGAGTCGAGATGTCATCTTTAACGTTGGTGAGACTCAGAGGCAGCCAGCCTTCCCTCTTCCACGTACCTATTAGAGTCTTCAAAATAAAAATTTGATGCTTAAACCAAAACATATAACAAGAGTTATTAAATTATGTCAAATATATTCCATATGAATCATGTGAACTGGTTGGACATTTTACTGACCTTCAAAGGGACGCTGACATGGGCGACAAGTTCAGCCTTGAGATGACCTTTACCAATACTTGAAAGGTAACTTTGTATTTCTGGAGGATTTTGATGACGTGAGTTCGTCTCCCCGTCAACACACTGCTCGTCAGTGTGTCCTTCACCGCTGGTCTTTGATTCCAATTGTTTCTTGGTATTTCCCTTATCTTTCAAGTTCCTAAATGCTCTTAAAGTTCTTGGAGTTGAAAACTTGGTTCTGAAAGACTTTCTCAAGTAAGAAGATAACACAGGTGTATCACTGAGAGCAGTACCGTTGGTGTGCGTCTCCAAGGCGTCGTGTGTGCTGTGAGTATCAGCCAGCGAGTCTTCATTATCCTCTCCCTCACGAGAACTCTCTATCTGAAAACTTGATATCGATGTGCTGTCGTTTGTTAAGTTCTGTCTCCTGAGGTCAGGAGAAGAGGTCTCACTAGAAGATTTCTTATCTTTTTTGCTCCCAATTCTTTTAAATATTTCTGTTGCTTTTTGTGATGATCTTCGTATGCCCAAGTTTATCTTCGAGAAAGATGTGATACTTATTGTGCTTCTCGACCTCTCACGGTCTAGATTATTATTCCCATTTTGTTTTGAAGTATCATAAGACAGTTTTTTCTCTAGTTTACTTTTTTCTGCAGTGGGTGACTCCTGAGCATGTGCGTGCGGATTACTTGTGTCTATGTCAGCCTCTTCGTTAAAGGGATTGGGCGACGTCGAGACACTGTCTGTCTCTGATCTCAAGGAGCATGTGTCAGCAGATTTGTGTTGGAGATTTTTTGAATCTGGAGATTTATTATGGTTAAATTTCTTGAAACTAGAACGCACGGATGCCCTAAGGTTAGAAGCGCTTATTCTCAGACTGCCTTTACGTATGTTGCCTTTTTCCTGCACTTTGTTGGTGCTAGGTGATAGATCAAGATTTTGGACGCTTGCTGATCTATCTCTATGCGTACTTGTTCTCATGTGGTCAAGGCAGAGCTCTGAACTGACAGAAATACTGTCTGACATATCAGTAGTATCACTTGCATTTCTTCCTGAGTCCACGTCGTTCCCATTGGAAAGTCCATTCTCACTGTTGTCATCAGGAGCCACGTTACTGCAGCTTTCATTGTGACGCGCCACGCCATTAGTAATTACCGTTTTCTTTTCTTTTACTTCCACAATTTTTGGACTTGTCTTCTTTGTGATTTTGTGGGAGTCGTTAAGGCTTCGTGAGCGATCTCGTTGGTTCCTGTCCTCCCAGAGTGAGACATTGATGATCGGTGTTTCATCAGAGTGATCCACCTCATCTCTCTCCTCTGAGCTCTCTAGAGCTGCCCCGGCACCAGCGTCTGATGACGGACTCGTCTGGTTCGTCTCTGTGGTACTGGCAGCCTCCTCACTGCTTCTGTACATCACCGTAAAAGAAGATCTATTTGGATTACAATGATATTATTGTGTAATGAACATGAATCAACACAACACTAAAGCCCACATGGAAAGAAAATGAAACACACTGTGACATGGAAGTTGTATATGTTATCCTCATAACACCTTGATCTGCTGAAGAGGGCCTCAGATAAGTAGCACACTCATTGATGAGTAACGCATTCACTGATAAAGAACACATTCACAGTTCACTGATGAGTGAGAGGAAATCAGACTTAGATTAAAGGAGCTATCAAGGCAAGTAACTTAGCATAGGTTTAATTAAGTGCTCTTGATTTAAAGAACCAGATCTACCTTCCCTTTCCCTAAAATCTAAGAGCTTAACATTCCCAACAAGTTGAATGACCCCTACGAGTTTAGCGCTACCCCTATGAAATAAATAAGCAGACCAAGGTCAGGGTGGTTGGAGGATCACTTGGTATACCGCGGTGTAACTCAGTGGCTACACAGTGGTCCGCGGTCCCCACTTTGAAAACCACTGGTCAAGTATTACTTGGCCGTCCATGGTTCCTCATTTAATATCCTAGCTTAGGTAACGTCCGTCTAGCCGTGATATTTTCATTCTGATAATAAGAGCCCTGATGTGAGACCAGGTAGCAGGAGCAATGATCCTTTGAATCATAAACACGTATACCACACGTTGATGATTACGATATACGTGCAACAGCTGGGTATCTTTATTGTTGAAATATTTTACCTACACGGAAGGCTTCTTCAGTCACATAAAGAGGCAGTAGGTGTAGTAGTGAAATGACGATGTAATCAGTCCATCAACCTTGGAGAAATAGTATTTGAGGTGGTCAGTCCCTCAGCCTGGAGAAAGAGTTCAGCTTCATGGTCTGGAACGATATGGAGCTGAATCATGAAGATGGAGTCTTAAATACCGTCGTAGGTCAGGTGGAAGATCTCGAAACCGTCGCAGGTGACGGGATTCCCTCTGGAATCCAACCCTTCTCACTCTTAACTAGTAGTTATGCGATGAAATGTGCAAGATGCCCTCTGTATCGAGATACCGCTGTACTGCCTCTGTATTTGACTGAAGAAGCCTGCTGTGTAGACGAAACGTTTCATCAATAAAGATACCCAACTGTTGCACATGTGTCTTAATCTTCAACTTGTCGGTATTTTATACCATTTTCCACATAACAGCCAGACACTGTAGCACAACGGTATCTTGGTAAACAGGACATGGAGATATATGGTATAAAATACCTACACATTGAAAAAATAAAAACGTATAATGTGATTTTTTATTGACAATGTTTCGCCCACACAGTGGATTTTATCAAGTCACAAACAATTGTTTGCGACTTGATAAGGATCACTGTGTGGGCGAAACATTGTCAACAGAGGACATCTTCCACATTCATTGCATAACTACAAGTTATGAGTAAGAAGGGTTGCATTCCAGATGGACCTGTCTTCTTACTTCTGTAAGCGAATCCCGTCCCCTACAGTGTCTTTGTGATCTTCCACTGACCTGCGACAGTATTTAAGACTCCATCTTCATGCTTCAGCTTCATATCGTTCCAGACCATGAAGCTGAACTCTTCTCCAGGCTGAGGGACTGACCACCTCAAATACTATTTCTCCAAGGTTGATGGACTAATTACATCTTTATTTCACTACTACACCTGCTGCCTCTGTATTTGACTGAAGAAGTCTACTGTGTAGGTAAAACGTTTCGACAACAAAGATACCTAACTGTTGCACATGTATCTTAATCATCAACCTGTCGGTATTTTATATAACTTTTAGCATATCGTATAATAAACACGTCAGGAGCAGACATTACCTTTCTCCATGTTACTAAACTGAACTCCGAGAAGAACTTACCTGGAACAGTTTACAACATTCTCCATGTTACTAAACTGAGCTCCGAGAGGAACTTACCTGGAACAGTTGACAACATTCTCCATGTTACTAAACTGAGCTCCGAGAGGAACTTACCTGGAACAAGTGGCAACATTCTCCATGTTACTAAACTGAGCTCCGAGAGAAACTTACCTGGAACAAGTGGCAACATTCTCCATGTTACTAAACTGAGCTCCGAGAGGAACTTACCTGGAACAAGTGGCAACATTCTCCATGTTACTAAACTGAGCTCTGAGAGAAACTTACCTGGAACAAGTGGCAACATTCGCTTTGTCCTTCCTGTATCTGATGCTGGTATTAATAAGGCGGCCCAGGATGTCAATAACTGCAGTATTCTGAGCGTCCTCCACCGGTGAACTTCTTCCAGCTTTCCTGTAAAACACCTGTGTTCCTCTGACCGTTCTTGATGTAAGAACGCTTATACGTTACTAGAAGAAGATAGGTGTGAAAAGGCAGTATGCAGAACAAGTTTATAGTTGAGCTTCATCAAGTCATACGTTGGTGAAGCTCTATCCTACGCGACATTAATCCCAAAACTTGTTAAGTTTATTTAGGTACAGCTCTCATTTATCATAATAACATATGTGTACATACTCAAATGTGCTGGCAATACGCCTCTACATACACTAGAAATGGAATAATATACAAGACAAAAAGCCAAGATTTTTGGATAATATGCGAGAACAAAAGCGAAAAATCGGTGATTACGAGACGGTCCTTCGATGTTGGGAGTGCTGGGAAGACAGCAGGAAAAAGAGGACTAACAGACTGACAGGCTTGGAAAATGTATTAAATGACATTTATATACTGTGTGTGTACTCACTTATTTGTACTCACCTGTTTGTGGTTGCAGGGGTCGATTCATAGCACCTGGTCCCGCCTCTTCACTGGTGGCTACTAGGTCCTTTCTCTCCCTGCTCCATGAGCTTTATTAAACCTCGTCTTAAAACTATGTATGGTTCCTTCCTCTGTGTGTGTATGTACTCATCTATTTGTACTCACCTATTTGTGGTTGCAGGGGTCGAGTCTTAGCTCCTGGCCCCGCCTCTTCACCGGTTGATAATGGGTCCTCTCTCTCTCCCTGCTCCATAAGCTTTATCAAACCTCGTCTTAAAACTATGTATGGTTCCTGCCTCCACTACGTCACTTTCTAGGCTATTCCTGAAGAAATACTTCCTAACATCCCTTTGACTCATCTGAGTCTTCAACTTCCAATTGTGACCTCTTGTTTCTGTGTCCCATCCCTGGCACATCCTGTCTTTGTCCACCTTGTCTATTCCTCCAGTGTCGTGTGTGTGTGTGTGTGTGTAATGTGTGTGTGTGTGTGTGTGTGTGTGTGTGTGTGTGTGTGTGTGGTGTGGTTGTGTGTGTGTATGTGTGTGTACTCACTTAATTGTGGCGCAGGAGTCGGACTCACTCCTGGCCCCGCCTCTTCACTGATCGCTACTAAAGGTCCTCTCCCTCTCTGCTTCCTGAGCTTTGTCATACATCATCTTAAAACTAGTATGGTTCCTGCCTCCACTACTTCACTTGCTAAGGGTATTCCACTTCCTGACGACTCTATGACTGAAAAAAATACTTCCTAACGTCCCCTGTGACTCTCTGATCTTCAGCTTCCAGTTGTGACCCCTTGTTTCTGTGTCTCCTCTCTTTGGGAACATCCTATCTCTGTCCACCTTGTCTATTCCCCGCAGTATCTTGTATGTCGTTATCAGTCTCCCTGACCCTTCTGTCCTCCAGTGTCGTCAGTTCCGAAATTTTTTCCCCCAACCTTTCCACGTACGACATTCCCCTGACTCTGGACTAGCCTTTTTTGCAAACCTTTGTACTTTCTCTAACTTCTTGACGTGCTTGACCCGGTGTGGGTTCCAGACTGGTGCTAAACTCCAGTATGGCCTAACTACACAGGTACAGTGTCTGAACGTTTCCTAATTAAGGTATCGAACGTATTCTAAGGTTTTGCCAGGCGCCGTATGCTGCAGCAGTTATTTGGTTGATGTTCTCCGGTGGGCTCGGTGTATGTCATCCCAAGGTCTTTCCCCCTGAGTGAAGTCTGTAGTCTTTGCCCAAACCTAGTATACTCTGTCTGTGTCTTTTTTTGCCCTCCCCAAATCTTCATGATTTGCATTTGGCGGGTTTGAAATTCAGAAGCCAGTTTGACACATGTCCAGCCTGTCCAGGTCTCTTTGCAATTTCCTCACCTCACCCAAATTTTAAAATTCTTCATCACACATCATCTGCAAATAGGGACACTTCAGAGCCCTTTTTCCCTTCCATCATGTCGTTCGCATATATCAAAATAGCACTGGTCCTAGAACTGACCCCTGTGGGACCCCACTCGTCACAGGCGCCCACTGTGAACCTCTTCACGTGCCATGACTCTTGTTGCCTCCCTGTCAGGTATTCCCCGATCCATTGCAGTGCCCTCCCTGTTTTATGCGCCTGATCCTCCAGCTTCTGAACTAATCTCTTGTGGGGAACTGTGTCAAAGGCCTTCCTGCAGTCTAGGAAAAAGCAATCAACCCGCCCCTCCTCTCATGTCTTACTTCTGTTACTTTTTCATAAAACTCCAGAAGGTTTGGGGACACAGGATTTGCCTTCCGTGAACCCATGCTGGTTTTTTATTTATAATCTTGTTCCGTTCCAGTGTCCACCACTCTCCTCTTGATAATCTTCTCCATGGCCTTTGCACACAAACATGTCGAGACACAGGCCTGTAGTTCAGTGCCTCATTTCTGTTTCCTTTCTTAAATATGGGGACTAGATTTGCTGTCTTCCATTTCTCAGTAGTTGCCAGGGTTTCAAGGGATGTGATGAAGAATAGTGGTAGGGGGGCACGCCACCGCATCTCTGCTCTGCCTCTAAGGACCCACGGGAGATGTTGTCCCATCCCATCGGACGGTACTCACCTATTGACTCACCTAGTTAGGTTGCAGGGTCGAGAGTCCAAGCTCCTGAGCCCGCCTCATCACTGGTCCGCTACTAGGCACTCACCACCGAACCATGAGCTTTATTGTACCTCTGCTTAAAGCATGTAAGATCGGCCTCCACTACATCGATTACCCAAAACTATTCCACTTCCTGACTACTCTGTGGCTGAAGAAATACTTCCTATACATCCCTTTGATTCATCTGTGTTCAGCTTCCAACTGTTGTCCCTGTGTTGCTGTGTCCAGTCTCTGGAACTCCTGTCTTGTCCCACCTTTGTCAATTCCTCTCATTATTTTGTAAGTCGTTATCACAAGTCTTCCCCCCTATCTCACCTGTCCTCCAGTGTCGTCAGGGGTTGATTCCCTTAAACCTCTCCTCGTAGGACATACCCTCTTAGTATGGGACCAGCCTTGTTGCAATCCGTTGCACTTTCTTCTCCAGTTTCTTTATTGCTTGGCTATGTGTGGGTTCCAAATGGTGCCGCAAACTTCCCAATATGGGCCAAACGTTACACACGGTGTAACAGGGTCCTGAACGATTTCCATATTAGATTCGAATGCTGTTCTGAGGTTTTGCTAGGCGCCCATGGGCTGGCAGCATTATTTGGTTGATGTGCACTTCAGGAATGTGCCTGGTGTTATACACACCCCAAGAATCTTTATTCCTTGAGTGATGTTTGTAGTCTCTGGCCCCCTAGACTGTACTCCGTCTGCGGTCTTCTTTGCCCTTTCCCCCAATCCTCATGGACTTTGGCAACTTGGTGGATTGAACTCCAGGAGCCATTTGCTGGACCAGGTCGCAGTCTGTCCAGTCCCTTTGTATTTCTGCCTGGTCCTTTCGATCGAATGAACTCTTTCTTCATCAACTTCACTCATGCCTGCAAACAGGGACTCCTCGGAGTTTATTTCCTTCCGTCATGTTCGTTTCAAAAATACCAGAAACACACTGGGTCGTACGAACTGACCCCTGTGGACCCCGCCTGGTCACAGGTGCCCACTCTGACACCGTCGCAACGAACCATTACTCGCTGCCTGTCATCCTGACAAGTTATTCCCCCTGATCCATTGCATGCCTTCCCTGTATCCCTGCTTGTCCTCTCCCATTTTTGCACTAATCTCCTGTGTGGTACTAGGTGTCAAACGGCCTTCTTGCTGTCCAAGGAAAATGCAATCACCCCCACCCCTCTCTCTCTTGTCCTTACTGCTTCTGTCACCATGCATAGAACTCCAGTAGGTTTTGTGACACCAGGAATTTCCCGTCTCTGAAACCATTTGTCTGCTGGTGAGAGATCCTTCCTTTCTAGATGTTCCACCATCCTTCTCCTGACAATCTTTTCCATATTTTGCATGCTATACATGTCAGTACACTGGTCCTGTATTTGTGCTTCATTGTCGTCTTTCCTTTTTATAAAAGATTGGGGCCCACATTTGCTGTCTTCCATGCCTCAGCAATCTCCCTGTTTCGATAGATGTATTGAAAATTTTGTTTGGGGTACACATAAGCCTCTGCTCCCTCTTACTCAGGACCCATGTAGAGATGTTATCTGGCCCCATTGCCTTTGAGGTATCTAGCTCACATCAAAGCCTCTTCACTTCTTTCCTCGTTGTTTGTACTGTGTCCAGCACATGGGTGGTGTACCCCACCTCTCCATCTTTCTGGAGCCCCTTCTGTCTCCTCTGGGTGAACACTTCTTTGAATCTCTTGTTGAGTTCCACCTCACATACTTTCACTGTCATTTCTTGTTGTCTCTCTCCTTCCTCCATCCTAGCTTGAGAACCTGGTCCTTGACCGGTTTTGTTTCTCTGATGTGGCTTGTAAAAAAAAAAATAACAGCTTCGGGTTCAGATTTGGGGCCTTTTTGCTGCCATGCCGTTTTCATATTGACGTTGGTTGGGGCTCCCTCTGATCTGTGCATATTCGTTTCTTTCTGGCTCTACGACTGCGTCTCGTATTTCTCCTGGGTCTTTGCCCTTCTATATTTCTCCATTCCCTAGCACACTTGGTTTTTGCCGTCCTGCATCTTTGGTGAACCAAGGGCTCATCCGGCTTTTCAATATTTCCTGTTACCCTTGGTACAAACCTCCCTCAGCCTCCTTGCACATTTGTTGGTCAACATATCCATCATCTCATTAACTGGCTTCCCTGCCAGTTCTCTCTGTCCCACTGAACCTCATGCAGAATGTTCCTCATTCCTGTGTAGTCCCCTTCCTGTAGTTTGGTTTCATTTGTCCTGGCCTTCCTGCTTCCCCCTCCACTTGTAGCTCTAACCGTGAATTCGAACTCAAAAAACCAAATGATCGCTGGCCACAAGGGGTCTTTTCATATGTGATGTCCCCTCAATGTTCTGCACTACACAAGGTTGATACTAAGTCCAGTCTTGCTGGGTTCTCCTCTCCTCTCTCTCTTGTAGTTCCCTTACTGTGGGTACATGAAGTTTTTTCCAGTAGCACCTCCTCATCTTACCCTCATGTATCTTATCCCCATTGGCTCCAAGTCTCTCATTCGATCACACTTGTGGTTAAAGACGCACAATCAGAGCTTTGCCCTGCATGCATGGCTCTTCTGGCCACTGCAGCCAGTGTGTCAACCATGCTCTTATTGCTCTCGTCATACTCTTGCCTGTCCTCCTCCTGCTGTTCTGTGGTGGTTATACATCACTGCAAATATCATTCACCTTGACCCTCCAAGTGAAGTGTCCCGCTATGCAATCACATTCTTCTCCCTGTCTCCTCCTCCAACTCAATCAAATCCATCGGTGTTTGATCACAATGCCACTCCTCCACCCACCCCCTGTACCCTTCTGTCTTCCTCAGATCTGGATCCCGGCGTTGGAAAAGATGGCATCGTCATCATTACCTTAGCTTGGTTTCTGTGAGTCGCTAAGAAGTCTGTGATGCCTCTTTGACTCTTTCTTGCCACTCCTCCCACTTGGGTGTTATTCCATCAGCGTTTGTTGGGGGTACCATACCTTCAGTTTCCTTTTCCAACACTGTGGTTTGGGGGGCCTGTGGGGGTGGACACCTGGTAGCATACTGTGGGATTCTATGGTTGGGGTTGGGTGGAAACTGTGGGTATGATTGTAAGTGTTTGGGATGGTTTGATAGTTGTGGGGTTACTAGGATAGGTGTGGTGAGTGCTTGCTCTTGCTGCTCTGTTCTGCTCTGACGGAACCTCTGCTGGGTTCCATCCTTGTCTCCTCTCCTAGCTCCTTTTCCGCTTTTCTGTCTCTTCCTCACTGCTGTCCTCTGTTTGTTGTTCGTCCTCTGTCTAGGAACACCTTCCTTGTACTCTTTCCGACTTTTCAACGTGGTTTCTCTTGGAGGATCCTGTTCTGCACTGTTTCTGGTCCTGAGAAAGGACACCTGATCGTTCGGTTCTCCCCTTCAAGTACCCCTAAATTCTCTGAAAATTACAATCTCGTCCATTCTTCTCCCCTATTTCCGTGATAATTTTCTCAAATCCTCCTTTCTTTCTTCCTGCCATCTTTCATGTGTGTCCCTTTTCCCTCTCTCCCGAAGCCCATGGATTAAACACTGATTTTTGTTTTGCCCTTTCCTCCTCCCATTGAGCCTCTCTCCTCTGTGACTCTGGTTCCTGTCTTATGTGGTCATTTTTCCTTCCTTGGATTTTTCCATGGCCTCTTGGTAGCATGGTTGTGCCTCAGCATGCCCTGCTCCAGTCTGCACCTACATGCTGCTCTTCCCTTCACTCCCTGGCCTTCTTGCAGGCAGATATAGAACCTTACATAATTCTTATCCCTTCCTTCCTGTTCAGCATCTCAGCTTCATATGGTGTGGCTTCTCTGTCACTACCCCTGAGACCTTGCTTCAAGCCTGTTTACTCAAAGTCAGGACCTTTACCCTGGCTACTGCAGTTTTCACTTGTGCCTCCCCAAAAAAAATTTTTTCTTATCGTCACCTTCCTCCAACCCTCTTTTCCCATTTCACAGAGAGCCTCATTCCTCCTTTTTTTCCAGAAAGCACTCCTAAATTTTCTCTCCCATTTTCGTGCTTCTATCCTTTTCCACGCTCCTCCATCATTCCTCCCTACCAGTACCATTGTTCCTCTATCCCTGATTCCTGCGAGTCCCAACCATTTTTTTTTTTTTTTTTGTGAGAGAGAGAAAGAGAAAGAGAAAAAGAAAAAGGGGAAAAGAGTGAGAGAGAGGGAAAAGAGAGAGAAGGGGAGGGTAGCAGGAGGAACAGAAGGAAAAGGGGGAGAAAGTGAGAGGGAAAAGGTAAAGAGAGGTGGAAGTGACAAGGTAAAGAAGAGAGAGAGAAGAAGAGAGAGAGGAGAGAGAGAGAGAAGAGAGAGAGAGAGAGAGAGAGAGAGAGAGAAGAGGAAGAGAGAGAGAGAGATTAAGAGAGGAAGAGAGGAAGAGAAGAGGGAGAGGGAGAGAGAGAGGAAGAGAGAGAGAGGGAAGAGAGAGAGAAGAGTGAGAGGAAAGAGAGAGGGAAGAGAGAGAGGAATACGAGAGAGGATAGAGAAAGGGTCCACTTCAACAGAAGTGTGAAATCCTGATGTTGTGGTGTGTGTGTGTTGTGTGTGTGATGTGTGTGTGGTCCTGCATGTTGTGTGTGTTGGGTGGGGGTTTTGTGGTGTGGTGCTGTTGTGTGTGTGTGTGTGTGTGTGTGTGTTGGGGTGTAGGTGCTACGGTATTCAAGTGCCTAACAGCAGAGCCTGTTCTCACCTAGTGTGTGTGCATATGTTTATGTAAACAGTCTTATTTCCCACTATGTACTACATATGTATTGCATATGTACACGATCTCTTGTTCCCACTGGAACTGTCCTTATTCGTTTAAAAATTATGTTCAAAAAAAAATACAATCTAGGCCTTCGCCTATATGCCCGCAACCTCTAAATTCTATTAAAAGCCAGTAACTGCTGCTTATTCTAATTCTGGATAGCTCGAGGAGAGTGACCCCCAATTCCAGCTAGAGACAGGTACATTGACCCCATGAAACTCAAACTAGGTGAATATTACTTGCGGCTGGCAGTGGAGTAACGTTGCAGGTCTGTCCTGTCCCAGAAGTTGAAGGTTTTTGATGCTTCTTGGTAATTTTTCCACTAACTTCCTGTATGCACTTAGCTCCTAGCTCTTCTAATTTTTTCACTCACTCACTGTATTTACTGACACATCTATACATATCTCTTATCTCCCTGGTCTTGAGTCGCACTTATTCTTCAAAATACCCTACTGCGTTATTATGGCAACACTATTTAGGCCTGACACAACCGTTCACCCTCCCAACGGCCCTCACTAAACACTTAGTCACTATTTCCTTTGTTTTCTTTTCTGTGATCACTTATATTTCCTTTTTTCGGGGCTTAAGTGATTATATGCACTCTTATGCGTGCACACGCCTATATCCCACACTCTATTCCTTATGGCACAGTCAGAAATTACCACCAAAACACGAGCTCAAACCGCGTGACTCCTCCACGAGTGTGTGTGTACTCACCTAGTTGTACTCACCTAGTTGAGGTTGCGGGGGTCGAGTCCGAACTCCTGGCTCGTGTGTGTGTGTGTGTGTGTGTGTGTGTGTGTGTGTGTGTGTGTGTGTGTGTGTGTGTGTGTGTGTGTGTGTGTGTGTGTGTGTTTGTGTCTCTGTGTGTGTGTGTGTTTGGAAAACGTGGAATGATATGTACCACTAAACAACACCATGAAGGTAGTAATAGTTTGCGTGTACAATGGAACAGCGCACATACGAGACGTAATTATGTTTGAGTTGACATAGTATAACAACAACAGTGATAATGGTAAACATGTGAGAGACTTGGTACTCACCAGACCTCCAGCAGCAGTGTATCTGTGTACATGTTCTTCACTGTCCTGTAAAAACAACAAATCACTTTCTGTTATCTCATTTCTTACTAATAATCATAAAATAGTATTGAAATAAAAGTGAATTTACAAAAATTATCGTATTTTTTCTAAGAGAGAGACACGTACAGGAGACAACGTAGACTGTCCCTACAAGTTCTCAGATGCCTTACGCCGCTAGTACACCACCTAGTACACCACCTAGTACACCTTGTACACCACCTAGTACACCACCTAGTACACCACCTTGTACACCACCTAGTACACCACCTTGTACACCACCTAGTACACCATCTTGTATACCACCTAGTACACCACCTAGTACACCTAGTACACCACCTAGTGCAACACCTAGTACACCACCTAGTACACCACCTAGTGCACCACCTAGTACACCACCTAGTACACCCCCCTAGTACACCACCTAGTAACCACTAGTACGCCACCTAGTACACCACCTAGTACGCCACCTAGTACACCACCTAGTACACCACCTAGTACACCACCTAGTACGCCACCTAGTACACCATCTAGTACACCACCTAGTACGCCACCTAGTACACCACCTAGTACACCACCTAGTACACCACCTAGTACACCACCTAGTGCACCACCTAGTACACCACCTAGTACACCACCTAGTACACCACCTAGTACACCAGCTAGTACACCACCTAGTACGCCACCTAGTACACCATCTAGTACACCATCTAGTACACCACCTAGTACGCCACCTAGTACACCACCTAGTACACCACCTAGTACACCAGCTAGTACACCACCTAGTACACCACCTAGTACGCCACCTAGTACACCATCTAGTACACCACCTAGTACGCCACCTAGTACACCACCTAGTACACCACCTAGTACTCCACCTAGTACGCCACCTAGTACACCACCTAGTACACCACCTAGTACGCCACCCAGTACACCACCTAGTACACCACCTAGTACACCACCTAGTACATCACCTAGTACACCACCTAGTACACCACCTAGTGCACCACCTAGTACACCACCTAGTACACCACCTAGTACGCAACCTAGTACACCACCTAGTACACCACCTAGTACACCACCTAGTGCACCACCTAGTGCACCACCTAGTACACCACTTAGTACGCCACCTAGTGCACCACCTAGTACACCATCTAGTACACCATCTAGTACACCACCTAGTACACCACCTAGTACACCATCTAGTACACCACCTAGTACACCACCTAGTACACCATCTAGTACACCATCTAGTACACCACCTAGTACACCACCTAGTACACCATCTAGTACACCATCTAGTACACCACCTAGTACGCACACTAGTACACCATCTAGTACACCATCTAGTACACCACCTAGTACACCACCTAGTACACCACCTAGTACACCACCTAGTACACCATCTAGTACACCATCTAGTACACCACCTAGTACACCACCTAGTACACCACCTAGTACACCATCTAGTACACCACCTAGTACACCACCTAGTACACCACCTAGTACACCATCTAGTACACCATCTAGTACACCACCTAGTACACCATCTAGTACACCACCTAGTACACCACCTAGTACACCACCTAGTACATATCCATCCTGTGGACGGTAGCGCGAGAGCATATGGATACACAAAAGGCCTAGGAACTAGGCCCCAAAGGGTTAACAGAAATACATATGGATTTATATCTACATATCTATAGTTCACTTATCTGTTACAAGCAAATTTAGGAAATTTGCTTAGTATATCTGGTATCTTATTTTCATTAATAAGATATCTTGACATGTCACATAGGTTATTATACTGTCTGTCTCTGTATTCCTCAATAAGTGGACAATTAAGCACATAGTGTTCAAGAGAGTGACCATATGCCTGATCACATAATTTGCATTTAGTTTGATCATCATCTGTGTGTCTCCAAACTGCCAGAAGTACTTGTAAACCAAACCTAAGCCTGGCCACTACAACATCAGTCAGTCTGTTCACATTGCAAGTTGCTCCATGAACATACTTATCTACGTTCATGTTATCATAGTGGGTTATAGATCTACTCAGGCTTCTAACTGCATTCCTATAACAATCATTTTCATTATTTACTTCTCTCCTAATATTATTCCTAATGCCAGACACAGATATACCAAAGTTATATTCTACATTCTCCTTCTGGGTACTCTTCTTGGCTAACATATCAACTTTATCATGAAGGAGTAATCCAATGTGTGATGGGATCCATAGCAATTGTACATTAATTCCTTTGTCCCTGATTTTTGAGTATCTATACCTGGCTTCTCCAATGAGCATGTTGTTGGAGTCATTATATGAGTTAAGAGCCTTCAATGATGACATAGAATCAGTAATGATGATAGAGTCAAGCTCAATGTCATAGGTTAGCTTTAGCGCCATTAGGATTGCAAACAATTCAGTTTGCAATGTTCTTAACTAGGGAGGTGGCAACAAGAGCAGATGCAGCCCTGCCAGAAGACTCCTGTTTAGATCCATCAGTGTACATAACTTGTGATAAATTATTACTACCAGACAGTTGCTTTAACAAGTGATTTAAGGAAGGGATTACTAGCAATGAGCTTCTTGGGAGGGACTTGCAGGTATGTGATATTAAATGAGCACATCTTCCATGGAGGGAAATGCTCTTGTTGTCTACAGTGATACAGTTCATGCAGGTTATAAAACTTAATGCAATTGCACGTTTTCACAATCCATTTAGATCTGTGTGTATTTACTTCTAGACATTTAGTAAGGTTCATGGTGACAATGTCTGGTTCATTTCTCAACATTCTAATACCGAGTACAGTGTTAATTTCAACAATCCTATCACTGATACTAGAAATACCAAGCTCCTTCCTCATATTAAGAACTTTTGTAGATCTGGGACAGCCAAGAATAATTCTGAGAGCTTCATTTTGCGTTAACTCCAAGGGTCGGAGAGAACTTTATCTAGCTTTTGTGCCTGCAAAATAATATTGGTGCGGTGTGTGTTGAGGTGAAGGTACAGTATCCCGGGGTTATCCCTTCAAGGAATACCTTGATGCTGCTGAAGTAATATCCCCTTCAACATACCTCATTAACTCCCATTCCCTGCGGTTATAATAATAATAATAATAATAATAATAATAATAATAATAATAATAATAATAATAATAATATTATTATTATTATTATTATTAGTAGTAGTAGTAGTAGTAGTAGTAGTAGTAGTAGTAGTAGTCGTAGTCGTAGTAGTAGTAGTAGTAGTAGTAGTAGTAGTAGTAGTAGTAGTAGTAGTAGTAGTAGTAGTAGAAGTAGTAGTAGTAGTAGTAGTAGTAGCAGTAGTAGTAGTAGTAGTAGTAGTAATTAATAATGGTTTGGTAATCAGAGATGAGATCAGTGGTTCGCCACCTAAATACTTTTTTTTAGAGTTTAATGGCACTTTGCTCTACTGTTCCCTGAGCAGCTCTACAACACAGGGAATCTTGGTGGTTCGTGCTTCAAGTGGCAGCATAAGATTTTGTTCGGATTTTTAACCCAGAAAGGTTAGTCAATCAAGATAACCCAAGAAAGTCAGTGCGTCATCGAGGACTAACTTATTTCCATTGTGGTCTTCAATCTTGTCCCCAGGATGCGACCCATACCAGTCGACTAACACCCAGGTACACCTACTTACTTGCTAGGTGAACGGGACAGCAGGTGTAAAGTAACACACCCAATCTTTCCACCTCTGCCGGGGATCGAACCACGAACATTCAGTATGTGAAGCGAGAGCGTTGCATAACCGGCCACGGGCCTGGTTTCTCGGTTCACAGCTGAAAACCCCGGGTCCGAACCCAGGACGAGTGGAAACATTACATACATGCTTCCCTATACGTGCTGCCCCGGGCTACCGCTGTAAAGTGGAAATCGCTGTAAGTGAATCATAGCCTTGTTTTAACTCTCAAATGCATATAAAAACGTGATAATATGTTTACACTTTTACATATGAAGTGAGCAGCAGAGCTAGGCCTTAAAAATGCATATACAGTACACACAATACTTTCATCCTTAGCTCGTAGTGAGTGGTCAATATATTTATTGTACGAAGTCTGAATAAATTAAGAATGGGTATAATTGAAAACTGCTGCATTAGCGAAATGCTGTATAGTGAAGCACTGTAAGACGAAGCGCTGTAAAGCGAGGTCTACCTGTAGTTTGTTAACGACTAATGTGGCTTCAATACCTTCTATTACTCTACAGTCAGTAAAGTTGCATGTAATCTTTACGCCACAACACAAGCAAATTTTAGTCCCTAAAACAGTGGTTAAAGTACACACTCATTCATCTACATTCTTCTACATTCCTGTCTAACACAGCAACATCTTGGGATCTTAATACAGGGAATTCTTCACTTGTCTAACTCTTGGGCACCACCTACTTCCACACTGGACAAATGTGACACCACCTACGACTGCTGCACCTCTCCTGACTACGGTATATAAGCTACTTCTCCGCACATATGCTGTATACTTTTCAAGATTGATGGACTGACCACATCAACTCAAGGCTGATGGACTGATTACCTCAAACTCCTCCTGTTCTTCAACGTTCTCCTTTGTATGGACTGATAAAGCCACTGTGTGGCGAAAAGTTTTCCCAATGAAGATACCCAAGTGTTGCACATGTGTCTAATTTATCAACTTGTCTGTTCTCTGAACCATTCATCTACATGATGTGTATGTTTCAGTGTATATCTGTTATGAGTTTACGTTTATGTGTATTATAAGTATTAAAGTATTATTGACTGATGGCGCACAGGAGACATACAACATGTTAGTGTAAATAAAGACACGAGGGTCATAAAGGCTTCATATCTTTTTTCCACCAGTCCAGAATTCTTCTGTTGGGATTAAAGTAGACTATACATACATATATATTCTAAGATGTAATAAGATCATAGGAAACAGATGATATGCTTAATAACAGCAGTGAAAAAAAAATATGTCAAGGCCTGTCGTAATTTCTCACATTATCAAGGAACAGTGATGCTGTGCTCACCAAGTTGTGGTTGCAGGGGTCGATTTAAAGCTCCTGGACGCTACTAGGTCACTCTTCCTGCTTCAAGAGCTTTATACCTCTTCTTAAAGCTAAGTTAGGATTCTGCCTCCACTACATCACTTCCCAGATTATTCCACTTCTTGACAACACTGTGACTGAAGAAATACTTCCTAACATCCCAGTACTTCATCTGAGTTTTCAACTTCCAACTGTGTCCCTTTGATGTTGTGTCCCATCTCTGGAACATTCTGTCTTTATCAATCTTGTCCATTCCTCTCAGTATTTTATAAGTCGTTATCATATACCCCATATCTCTCCTGTCCTCCAGTGTCGTCAGGTCGACTTTCTTTAACGTCTCCTCGTAGGAGAGGTTACGAAATAATTAAGGCAGTTGAAGGTTCATATATGTTAGTTTAGTTGCCGCTCTAGTAAATAAATTTTACTAATGACATCTCAATGGCATAACACTTTTATTAGTGTCGTCTTTATTGTTCTATTACACACCATAACTACTGCATGAAAACGGGGAGTTTGACTGACAAAAATTCGCACATAGTATCTCGCTCTCCACAGAAGCTCTATAGTAAAATTTGTGAAATGTTGTTGGTGACCTTGATGACTGAGGCGAAGTATACTTACAGTGTGAGAGTGTTGTTGGTGACCTTTATGGCTGAGGTGAAGTATACTTACAGTGTGAGAGTGTTGTTGGTGACCTTGATGCGGGAGGTAAAGTATACTTACCAGTTGAGAGGTTGTTGTGCCCCTTGATGACTGAGGTGAAGTATACTTACAGTGTGAGAGTGTTGTTGGTGACCTTGATGACTGAGGTGAAGTATACTTACAGTGTGAGAGTGTTGTTGGTGACCTTGATGACTGAGGTGAAGTATACTTACAGTGTGAGAGTGTTGTTGGTGACCTTGATGGCTGCGGTGAAGTAACTTACATTTGTGAGAGTGTTGTTGGTGACCTTGATGACTGAGTAAGTATCTTACAGTGTGAGAGTGTTTTTAGGTGACCTTGATGACTGTGGTGAAGTATACTTACAGTGTGAGAGTGTTGTGGTACCTGATACTGAGGTGCAGTATACTTAATGTGAGAGTGTTGTTGGTGACCTTGATGGCTGAGGTGAAGTATACTTACAGTGTGAGAGTGTTGTTGGTGACCTTGATGGCTAGGTGAAGTATACTTACAGTGTGAGAGGGGTTGTTGGTGACCCTTGATGGCTGAGGTGAAGTATACTTACAGTGTGAGAGTGTTGTTGGTGACCTTGATGACTGAGGTGAAGTATACTTACAGTGTGAGAGTGTTGTTGGTGACCTTGATGGCTGAGGTGAAGTATACTTACAGTGTGAGAGTGTTGTTGGTGACCTTGATGACTGAGGTGAAGTATACTTACAGTGTGAGAGTGTTGTTGGTGACCTTGATGGCTGAGGTGAAGTATACTTACAGTGTGAGAATGTTGCTGGTGACCTTGATGACTGAGGTGAAGTATACTTACAGTGTGAGAGTGTTGTTGGTGACCTTGATGACTGAGGTGAAGTATACTTACAGTGTGAGAGTGTTGTTGGTGACCTTAAATGGCTGAGGTGGAAGTATACTTACAGTGTGAGAATGTTGCTGGTGACCTTGATGACTGAGGTGAAGTATACTTACAGTGTGAGAATGTTGCTGGTGACCTTGATGACTGAGGTGAAGTATACTTACAGTGTGAGAATGTTGCTGGTGACCTTGATGATTGAGGTGAAGTATACTTACAGTGTGAGAGTGTTGTTGGTGACCTTGATGACTGAAGTATACTTACAGTGTGAGAGTGTTGTTGGTGACCTTGGTGGCTGAGGTGCTGGTGAAGGAGGAGAAACAGTTTTTACCGCTCAACACAGCACGAATGAACACTACTGGGGGTGACGGACTGCCTGTGGGAGGTGAGGAAGATGTTACAAAGAGAAGGTCCTCAACAGTTTCCCTGTGTTTTTGCCCTACCTTCCTCTCCTCTTTCTTTTTTTTCTGGGAAAACGCCAAAGAAACACAAACTAGCTCTGCTAGATAAAGAAATAAGTATGCTTACTGAAGGCAGCGTTTCTGAAAAGTTAAACTGAGCTGTGTGTATTTCAGACGCTGCGTGATCTGAAAGACGTTGTGGTCCGTCTTATTCGGTACCCTCAGCCCCGGGTAACTCAACACATACAACAAGCCCCGGGTAACTCAACACATACAACAAGCCCCGGGTAACTCAACACATACAACAAGCCCCGGGTAACTCAACACATACAACAAGCCCCGGGTAACTCAACACATACAACAAGCCCCGGGTAACTCAACACATACAACAAGCCCCGGGTAACTCAACACATACAACAAGCCCCGGGTAACTCAACACATAAACAAACACAGTAGCTGTACATTAAACACTCAGAACACCTAGAAGCTATAAAGCAACCTTTCAACAGATCCAGGAGCTGGAGACCGCTGCCATCGAGAGAGCCAAGAGCTTAAGCTCACCATTCTCAAGATAACTAGAACCTGCAGGCCCAGGAACTGTAGATCAATACCCTCGAGAAGTACAGGAGCTGGCACTCAACCTAGTCACACAGTGAACGACAGTCATCTGGAGGTGACTGTAACATTCATCATATTACAACAGTTACACGCAAACTGTGCAACGTCTGTGTCAGACCGGGACGAAACCCTCTCCAGGTATACTCCAGGTATACTCCAGGTATACTCCAGGTATACTCCAGGTATACTCCAGGTATACTCCAGGTATACTCCAGGAATGGTATACAGTACTGAGAAGATAAAGAATCAGACACGTGCAACATCTGGGTAACTTTAGTTTGTAGACGTTTCACCATCTGGTGGTTTTGTCGATACAAAGACATAGGGACTGATGAGGCAGTCATAACCCTGCAACCACAACACACACACACACACACACACACACACACACACAACAGAGAGGAAAGTACACATGTACACACCTGTGGTAGGTTCCAGAGCGAGACCTTCAGTTCGAATCTCCTCGAGCAGCAGTTCCACAGCTGGCGCCAC